TTTTTTTTTTTTTTTTTTTTTTGAGACGGGGTCTTGCTCTGCCACCCAGGCTGGAGTGCCGTGTCATAATCAGGACTCACTGCAGCCTCCATCTCCCAGGCTCAAGTGATCCCCCTGCCTCAACCTCCCAAGTAGCTTGTGGAAAGGCCCTGTGGCAGAAGAGAGTGTAGTGTATTAGGAGAACTAAAAGAAAGCCTGGGTGGCTGCAGTACAGAAAGCCAGGGAAGAGAGGTCCAGGATGCTGCTGGACTGGGGAGGAGACAGCCTTGAGCCTGCTTAGCATTGTGGACTTTCCCTCAGATCCCTAGGAAAACACTGAAAGATGAAGGGAGATAACCTTACATTGTACTTGCATTTTGAAAGTCTCACCCTGGCTATAGTATGGAGAGTGGTTTGGAGAAGAAAGCAACTAATGAATTTATATTTAGTTCAGCTGAGAAATGACATGGCTTGGTACTTGTCTTAGCTTGGGCTGCTGTAAGACAGCACATAGACTGGGTGGCTTACAGATAACAGATTCAGCTTCCAGAACTGTCAGAAATCTGTGTTGTTTCTCAGAGCGTGCAGTGTAGTGGAGGGGACCCTGAACTGATCAGGGTGTCAGCATGATTGGGTTCTGATGAGGTTCCTCTTCCAGGCTGCAGATTTAATTGCTGTATCATTACATGGCAGCAAGAGGGCCAGGGAGCTCTCTGGCCTCTTTAGATAGGAGGTCTCACCATGTTGCCTGGGCTAGACTTGAATTCCTGGGTTCAAGCCATCTTCCCACCTCAGCCTCCTGAGTAGCTGGGACTACAAGTGTGCACCATCATTCCCGGCTTTCTCAGGCCTCTTCTTATAAGGGCACTAATCCCATTTATGAGGTCTCTGCTCTAATGACTTCATTACCTGCCAAAAGCCCCACCTCCTAATGCCATCACATTGGGGGTTAGAATTTCCACATATGAATTTTGGGGGGAAATACAAACATTCAATCTACTGCAATGATAGTGATAGATAGATACTGTGAGTAATGTATTTGTGTGCAAGAAGTCATTGCCAAACTCAAGAGCATCTAGATTTTATCCTGTGTTATCTTCTGGTAGTTTTATAGCTTTGCATTTTATGTTTATGTCTGTGATCCATTCTGAGTTAATTTTTGTGAAGTGTGTCAGGTCTGTGTCTAGCTTTGTTTTCTGATGTGGATGTCCAGTTTTCCCAGCACCGTTTGTTGAAAAGACTTATCTTTGCATCATTATTTTGCCTTTGCTCCTTTGTCAAAGGTCAGTTGACTGTATTTATGTAGGTCTATTTCTGGGTTCTCTATTCTGTTCCCTGCATCTGTTTGTCTGTTCTTTTGACAGTACTACACTGTCTTGATTACTGTACCTTTATAATAAGTTTTGAAGTTGTGTAATGTCAGTCCTCCAGCTCTGTTCTTCTCCTCTGATATTGTTCTGCTGTGTTGGGTCTTTGGCTCCACAAGTTTTAAGAGTGCTATCTTAGGCCATGTGCGGTGGCTTACCCAGCACTTTGGGAGGCTCAGCCACAAGGATCACTTGTGTCTAGGAGTTCAAGACCAGCCTGGGTAACATAAAGGGACCCTGTCTGTATTAGTCTGTTTTCCCGCTGCTGATAAAGATACACCAGACAGGTGTGGTGGCTCAGGCCTGTAATCCCAGCTCTTTGGGAGGCCAAGGCTGGTGGATCATGAGGTCAAGAGATTGAGACCATCCTAACCAACATGGTGAAACCTGTCTCTACTAAAAATACAAAAATTAGCTGGGGTGGTGGCGTGTACCTGTAGTCCCAGCTACTTGGGAGGCTGAGGCAGGAGAATCGCTTGAACCTGAGAGGCAGAGGTTGCAGTGAGCTGAGATTGCGCCACTGCTCTCTAGTGTGGCAACAGAGCAAAAACTTAGTAAAAAAAAAAAAAAAAAAAAAAGACATACCCAAGACTGGGCAATTGACAAAAGGAAAAGATTTAATGGACTTACAGTTCCATGTGGCTGTAGAAGCCTCACAGTCATGGCAGAAGGTAGGGAGAAGCAAGTCACATCTTACATGGATGGCAGAGGCAGAAAGAGAGAGAGAAACTGCCCTATAAAGCCATCAGATCTCATTAGACTTATTCACTGTCACAAAAATAGCACAGGAAAGACCACAATTCAGTTGCCTTCCACTGGGTCCCTCCCACAACATGTGGGAATTCAAGAGGAAATTTGGGTGGGCACATAGACAAACCATGTCACTGTCTCTAAAAAAGAATTTTTTTTAAAAATTGGCCAGGTGTGGTGGTGTGTGCCTATAGTGCCTGTAGTTCTAGCTACTGGGGAGGGATCAGTTGAACCCAAGAGTTGGAGATTACAGTGAGCCATGATCACAGCACTGGACTGCAGCCTGGGCTACAGAGTGAGACCTTGTCTCTGAAAAAATGAAAAAGAAGTGTTAGTCTGTTTGTGCTGATGTAACAAAATACCTCAGACTGGGTAATTTATAAAGAACAGGAATTTATTTCTCATAGTTTTGGAGGCTGGGAATTCCAAGTTCAAGATACCAGCATGTTCAGTGTCTGGTAAACACTTGCTCTGTGCTTCCAAGATGGTGAGAAATAAATTTGCCTCTAAAAATTTTAACAAAACACGTGTTTCCATTCTCTCATTGAGTGAAAGAAAATATCCTAACAGTTGACTTATAGTGTAATTAACACACCTGGCTATATTTTGTCCAAGCATGTGGCCAAACTTACAGGGTAATTTAGCACCCCGTAAAAGGTTGATGGACAAAGAACTGAATGAAGTCTCATAGAATCTTGCTAGAAGTCATCTGGTCCAGCCTCTAACCGGAGCACTCCAAAGACATTGTACCTTTGCCGGAGCCCCTCCAATGGCGGGAGGTTGTCACTGTTGTTACAAAGTCACAACAGAATGACCATGTGAATGATGTACACTAATTATGGGACAAATAACCAAAGCGTCTGATGGCTGTAGTTGTTTCAGTGTTTGTACACTTAATTTTCCTTCACCTCCCCTGACCTCTGCAGAATGGCTTATTCAGAAAAGCATAGAGGTGAGCCCTGTGGTTTCATCCGCCAGAATTCTGGCAACTCCATTTCCTTGGACTTTGAGCCCAATATAGAGTACCGGTTTGTGGAGCAGTTGGAAGAGCGCTACAAATGTGCCTTCTGCCACTCGGTGCTTCACAACCCCCACCAGACGGGATGTGGGCACCGCTTCTGCCAGCACTGCATCCTCTCCCTGAGGTGAGTGGACAGGGCCTGCAACTCCGACCATGGCAGGCCCAGCATGCAGGTGCCGATTGTGGCCACTCAACTGTTCTCATGGTTTTTGGAGTTGCTTTATTTGGCCACAGAACCATGACTATAAGGAGGGACTCTCCCAGATCTCCTCTGTGAGGTCCTGAAGAATAATCATTTTTGGGTTATTAATTTACAGATATTCTTTCTTAAAATTAATTTACAGATATCCTTTTCTTAAAATTCAGACTGCACCTGTTTTGCATGGGAGAGCAGACCTAGACACACACTCCATTATGGGAGCTGGCTGTGTGGAAGAGCTTGAATCTCACAGCGTCTGTGTTGTAGTCACTTCAGTCTTCCCTTTCCTTGAGGCAGAGGTGCTGTAACACCTAGAAGAGACCTTGCTGCCATGGATGCTGTCCTCTCCTGGGCAGCTGAAAGACCTGGGTCATGCTGTGTTGAGGGAGGAGACCAGGAGAGATGTGGAAGCAGACACACTTTGGGGGGTTACATAGGAAACAAGGCAGTCATTTTACCCTGCCAAACCTTGAAAGCGGGTTATTATAGTGGATCCTCATTCCTTCATGTGTTTGTGCCTTCAGCACCTGTGTGTTCTGTGCTCTCATGCTGAAGAGCTACAGTGTGGAACAGGACCCCATGTTTGCCCTCTAGAATGTTCCAGTCCTGAGAAGGAGACGTTGTGGTACAGTGTGATAAACAAAGGACAAAGGGCATTTAGTTTTGTCCACTGACTGCATCCTGGAGGATGCATGAAGTTTTTCAGGCAAACTGAGACTAGGAAGGTGCTGAAGGAGGGGTGCAGTAGGCACCTTCTGGGTAGAGGGAACAGCATGGATAGACAGGGACCAGCCTGCCCAGGGCTAGAGCATGGCTGGAGCCCTGGGGCTGCTTTTGGAAATGCTGTTGAGGTAAACACCTAACTCTGGCTCCATTTTTATTTTTCTCTCCAGAGAATTAAACACAGTGCCAATTTGCCCTGTAGATAAGGAGGTCATCAAATCTCAGGAGGTAAGAAAGTCACTGCATTGGTCTAGCAGCTCTCAGGGTGATAGAGAAGAAGTCAATGAATTGGACATAGAGATTGGAGCAGGAGAGTGGTCAAGGGAGACCTTCCTTGGAGTCCACATTCCTCTGCTGTGGGGTCACATCAGAGCCTACTCATAGCCCTGTTTCAGAGGCTTGTTTGGGTCTTTATTGACCACACCCCTCCTCCACCCCAAGTCTCCTTGCCTGGTTCTTCCTTATCTCCTTCCTATACTAGCTCCAGCTAATGTATTTCATTACGGTTTTGATTTGCATTTTCCTGTTGGCTGATGAGGCTGGGAATTTTTTCAGGTGCTTATTGGGTATTTGTATATCTTCTTTGTTAAAAATGCCTATTTATTTCCTTTGTTTATTTTAAAAACTTGAGTTATTTGCCTGTTATTGTTGCATTATAAAAGTTGTTTATAGCCTATAATCCCAGCAGTTTGGGAGGCTGAGGCAGGCAGATCATATAAGGCCAGGAGTTCGAGACCAGCTTGGCCAACATGGCAAAACCCTGTCTCTACTAAAAAATACAAAGATTAGCTGGGTGTGGTGGTGCACGACTGTAATCCCAGCTACCTGGGAGGTTGAGGCATGAGAATCGCTGGAGCCCGGGAGCTGGAGGTTGCAGTGAGCTGAGATCATGCCACTGCACTCCAGCCAAGGTGACAGAGCAAGACTCCGCCTCAGAAAAAGAAAAAGTTCTTTATATATTCTGGATATAAATATCTGCAAATATTTTTCTTCCATTCTGTGGGTTGTCTTTTCCCTTTCTTGTAGTGTGTTTAAAGCACAAAAAATTTTCATTTTGATGAAGTCTAGTTCATCTGTTTTTTTTTTTTTTTTTTTTTTTTTTGGTTTTTTTTTTTTTTTTTTTTGTATCTAAGAAACCATTGTCTGTCCCACGTCATGAAGATTTTCTCCCTTAAAACTCCTCTTTAAGTTCAATTTTCTTCCTTTAGGATTCTGTTGCAGGATGTTTAAGCAGAAGTTTCCCTTCAGCCTCTGGTCTGCTGTATATGCGCCTTCTCTATACTTCTTATAATGTGTTTTGTAAATATCTACAACAGGGCTGTGCTGTACTTAGTGTCTGTCTGAGCTACTATTCCAGGGGTTGGCATACTACAGTCTTGGGACAGATCCACCCTGCCACCCATTTTTGTATGGCCTGTAAGCTAAGAAACTTTTTATATAATGGTGGATGCATAGAAACCTTGTATTTTTGCAACTTCTTGTGAGTCTTAAACTACTTCAAAATAAAGCTATTTAAAATAATCCAGAGAAGGTTTTGTGATATGAGATTCAAATTTCAGTGTTCATAAATAGTGTTTTATTGGAACATAGCTGTTCCCATTCATTTAGGTATTGTATACGGAAGAGTTGAAAAGTGACATCAGAAACAATTGTGATGTGAACTATCTGACCCCTTACAGTTTGTTGGCTCCTGGTTTGTGCTAAAATAGCAAGCCAGCACAGCCTGGGTAATGCTGTCTGATGAGTGATACATTTACTCTGGGACAGGAAGCTGAAAGCATCACTCTTGGCTAAGCTTCACCTCCTCACCTTTGAGAATGTGGGGTCAAGTTCACCATGAGATTTGCCTAGCTGTAGCGTGTTGCACTGGGCATTGTTACCTGGCTTGTATGTTTGATGGTTTGTCAAAAGCATATATCGGAGACAGCCTTTTCTTTCAGTGTGGTGTAATATTTCCATTCCAGCAGTTGTCTGGAAGTTTCCACCTGCCTGTTGAGGTATACTTGAAGACCAAATTAAAATAGCTTAATTCACATTGCCGTAAAACTTTGAAGTGTGTGAAACCTATTATGTTTACCTTTTAGGTTTTTAAAGACAATTGCTGCAAAAGAGAAGTCCTCAACTTATATGTATATTGCAGCAATGCTCCTGGATGTAATGCCAAGGTTATTCTGGGCCGGTACCAGGTTGGTATTACTCATGAACAGTATTTACCTTTGCCATTTTTCCGGGGATGTGTATTGAACCCCTTTATGAGACAGTTACTGAGCTAAGCATGTAACAGGGATTCAGTGGATTGCCCTCAGAGATTCCCAGTCTAGCCATACAGGTGGCTACAGTGCTGCGGTACCCCTAGGGCTGAGGTGTGAGTGAAGAGGTTCATCCTGTATGGAGCGCAGGGAAGACATCTTGTATCCACTAGACCTTAATTGTGTGGTAGGGATCATTGAGCCAAATGAGAGGGTGCAGGACATGCTGGACCAAACAAACACTCGAGAATATGTCATTTTGGTGGAACTGGGTGGGACCCCGGGGTGATTACAGAAAGACACAGTTGTGAGGTCCTTCCCTGAAAGCATTTGCTCTCTCACTTGGTGGTGTCATAGGCATTTCCCAGCAACTGTGAGGCCTGGCCTCGTGGGGTTTATGATCTATGGCAGATCACTCAGACCAAGGCAGAGACAGGCTGCGGGTTAAAGGTAAAAAGCATTGACAGGAGAGACAAACCAACAAGGCGTAGGGGAAATGTAAGTGAAGGGGAATTGAGTGCCTTTAAAAATGAAGTAAGGCCAGCTGCCCTTCCCTCCAGCTAGGGAAGGTGGTTAAATGGGAAGCTAGAAACTTGTCATTGCCTGGCAGGCCCATGTCAAGTTTGATCACACTACAAGTGAACATGACTCAGGCATCTCTAACTCCTAGGGAATTGCTGAGAGGCTGCTGAAATTTTCCCCGCACACCCACACATTTTGGAACACATATTTCAGATGATTCAGTCTTTTCTCTATCACTCCAAATCCCCCAGGCACTGAGCTTATAAATGTGTAAATGATTTCCTTGTTAACCCAGGGACTTCTTTGGAGGCTCATGGAACTTTTGGTATGTTTTCATGTGTCCTTTGCCACTTGTTTTGAATAGTCAAGTCCTAGAGCGAGGGAGGCCTTTTTTCCCAACTTTGTTGTCACTAAGCCAAAAAAGCAAATGAGGCTGAAATGGACCATTGAACAGCTTTAGTGACCAGATCACAGGCTTGTGGAGAGCAGGGGCTGGTTTCTTTCCACCTGTTTCTTTTACATTTCCCCTCATTCCTTGTTTCCCGCCTATCTCCTTGTGCGGTAAGGTGTAGAATCTTATGGGTAGCAGAGTTTCAATGAATGTTGACTTTTTGGGTGAGAGTTGAGGATGTAGTATCAACAAATTTTGGAGAAGAGATGGATTCCAACTGTGATGATTCATACCACCGGACGTGAGTGAGAATACCTATATTTCTCTCACTGTCAAAAAACTGTTTGCCTTTTCTTCTGAGAGAAGGTCAGCAAACTCTGTTAAGAGTCAAACAGTAAAAAAATAAAATTAAATTAAAAAGAGCCAGATAGTAACTATTTTAGGATTTGCAGGCCATACAGTCTCACAATTACTCAGCTGTCCCATTTGAGAGGGAAAGCAGCTATAGACAATCTGTAAAGGAATAGGTGTGGGTCCTTTCCAATACAACTTTAATTATAAAAACAAGTAGCAGGCCAGATTTGGCCTGTGAGTCCTCACTTGCCAATTTTGTTTTAAAGGACCCTCAGAGGGACAAGTTCTCTAACATTTTGGTAACTTGCTAGCATCACAATAACTGCAGTGATTCAAAGGTTTTCATTGAGATATGCCTGCTTTTAAAAATCTAGAATGTTGGCCAGGTGTGGTGGCTCATTCCTGTAATACCAGCACTTTAGGAGGCTGAGGCGGGCGGATCACCTGAGGTCAGGAGTTCGAGACCAGCCTGGCCAACATGGCAAAACTCTGTCTCTACTAAAAATACAAAAATTAGCTGGGCGTGGTGGCGGGCGCCTGTAATCCCAGCTACTCAGGAGGCTGAAGCAGGAGAATTGCTTGAAACCCGGGAGGTGGAGGTTGCAGTGAACTGAGATCATGCCACTGCACTCTAGCCTGGGTGACAGAGCAAGACTGTCTTAAAAAAAAAAACAAGAACAAAAAAACATAGACTGTCCAGCCTGGCCATCATAGTGAAACCCTGTCTCTACTAAAAATACAAAAATTAGCCGGGCATGGTGTGTATCTATAATCCCAGCTACTCGGGAGGCTGAGGCACAAGAAGTACTTTTACCCAGGAGGTGGAGGTTGCAAGGAACAGAGATCCCACCACTTCACTCCAGCCTGGGCAACAGAGAGAGACCCTGACTCAAAAATAAAATAAAAAATAAAACAGTATAAGAATACAAATAAAATAATCTAGAATGTGAAGAATCCGGGAATGAACACTGTCCATGTCATCATTCTCAAATATTAAATAGTATATACATAACTTTATATAAAATAATAAGAGCCAGATAGTAACTATTTTAGGCATTGCAGGCCATACAGTCTCACAATTACTCAGCTGTCCCATTTTAGAGGGAAAGCAGCTATAGACAATATGTGACAAAATAATATTAAATAGTGTATATATATAAAAAATTATATATTTACTAAATAGTATATACTACTAAATAGTATATATATAACTTTAAATAAAATAAAAAAGAACCAGATTTTTATTTTAGGCTTTGCAGGCCATACAGCCTCACAATTAGTATATATACTAATTAGTATATACAATTTGCATATATATTAATTAGTATATACAATTAGTATATATATTAATTTGATTTTTATTTTATTTAAAGTTATATATACTAATAGTATATATTCTATTAAATAGTATATATCACAATATATATATCACAATATATACCATTTAATATTTAAATATCAATGTGGTGTTTAATATATAACAAAATATAGAATATTAAATATTATTAACATTTATATTTAATATATAACATTATTGATATATTATACTAATGATATATATGAATGATATGTAATATCAATAGTGATATATTTATATATTAAATATAATAAATATATATTATTATAATATATTTAATATATATTTTATATATATTATTATATATGTTATATTTAGTATATATTATAACATTTAATATATATTCTACCAAATATATTTAATATATAGTCTATTCAATATAATATTGAATAGAATATATAATTTAAATACATTATATATTTAATATAGTATATTTAATATATATTTATAATATAATTTAATATATAGTATATATTTACAATATAATACATAATATTTAAAAAAATATATAAAATATAAAATATATAATATATTACAATATTTACATTATATATTTAAATTATATTATAATTTATTAATTTCAAATATATTATTTATACAATATATTTATATAAATATAAATATATTTAGTATATTATATTTGATATATATTATATATATTAAATATATTTACATATAAATAGTAATTAAATGTAAAATTAAATGTTTAATTAGTTTAAATAAATGTTAATATTTAATAATATTAAATGACATTAGAGAATATTTAAAATAAAATTTAAATAACTTATTATTTGTGTCAGAGTCTCACTCTGTCACCTAGGCTGGAGTGCAGTGGTGCAGTCATAGCTTACTGCAGCCTCAAACTGCTGGATTCAACTGATCCTCCCACCTCAGCCTCCTGTGTAGCTGGGATCACAGGTGTACACCACCACACTTGGCAAATTAAAAAAAGAAATTTGTGGAGACAAGGTCTTGGGGTCTCACTGTGTTGCCCAGGCTGGACTTGAGTCCTGGCCTTAAGTGATCCTCCTGTCTCAGCCTCCTAAGGTTCTGCGCTTATGAGGATGAGCCAGCACACATGGCCAATAAATTATCATTAATGGTTAAAAATATTTCCTGATTTTACCAGTCTGACCATTCCCAGCTTCTCTTGGGCCTGCACACCTGTGTTTCCTCCATCTCCTTCTCTTTATCATTTCTAGAATAGCTTCCTCTCCCTTCTTTTCATCTTCATCGTTTGCCTTTCTTCCTTGAGTTAGGATATGCCCTTCTCTCCTTTTTTCTTTTTCTTGTTTCCTTTTACCATCTGCTGTGCATAGACCCATACTTAATGCTGGGGGTTCGGATGAAGAGTGCACAAAAGAAATAAAAATGTCCTTGAAGAACTCGTAAATTAAGGAAAATATCCAAGAACTAACCTGAGAATATGAGCACATTATTAGATCTTGGTGTACTTCCTCTTCACCCATCTTCCCCTGTCCTCTGAATTCCTCCCAACCAAGGCAGCCCTCCCCATGCCCTCTCCTCAGCAGAGGCAGTGGGCTGCATCCCCTGAGAGCCTACCCTGTGCCTTGCCCTGTGCAAGCCTTTCTGCGCAGCTGCCCACCCTGTTCTCTGTCCCTCTCTAGGCTTTCCAGCTGACCTCCCTCCCACTGCCCTGCTCAGTGGGTCCCACTGGCCTGTTGTTATCTGTTGCAGGATCACCTTCAGCAGTGCTTATTTCAAGCTGTGCAGTGTTCTAATGAGAACTGCCGGGAACCAGTCCTACGAAAAGACCTGAAAGAGCATTTGAGTGCATACTGTCAGTTTCGAGAGGAAAAATGCGTTTATTGCAAAAAGGATGTAGTAGTCATCAATCTACAGGTAAAAAACAACAACACACATGGCTGGGTGCGGTGGCTCATGCCTATAATCCTAATACTTTGGGAGGCCAAGGCGAGTGGATCACCTGGGGTCAGGAGTTTGAGATCAGCCTGGCCAACACGGTGAAACCCTGTCTCTACTAAACATACAAAAATTATCTGGGCGTGGTGATGTGTGCCTGTAATTCAGCTACTAGGGAGGCTGAGGCAGGAGAATTGCTTAAACCCGTGAGGTGGAGGTTGTAGTGAGCTGAGATCACGCCATTGCACTCCAGCCTGGGTAATGAGTGAAATTCCTTCTCAAATTAAAAAACAACAACAACAACACACAAAACAGTCATCTGTATGGAGCTAAATTATGCCTGAGTGGTCACAGTGAATCAGGTGAAATGCCAGAAGAACATTCCTGCATTTATTTTCATACAGAGTTAGGTCTAAAGAATTTGCTTTTTGGAGAGAAGTTCTGTGAAAAGCTTCAAACCTTCTTGTTGGTAGCACTCTATTCATTTATTGTTGGCAAAAATATTATTTGAACATGTGCTGTGTATGTGTAAGGAATGCTAGGTGATGAGTCACAAGGAGATGATGATAATGTCTCCTCTGAATTCTGCAGTGTAGCTGGGGAGGCGGGACGTAGGCCTAAAAAGAAACCATGGGTACTTTTTACATGTCCCGAAGGAGTTATGCTGGCAGTTCCCCAATCTACCTTCTTTGAGTCCTGTGCTCTATGACTTTTTTTTGGAATAATTGGAAGATTTAATATTTCAATTAAGTTAATTTATGCCTAGAAAGCAGACATCTTTAATCCTTTTTTGGAACTAGGCCATAACTTTCTGTAGCAAGTAAGCCACGTGACATATAGCCCCAAAGAGACACAGGTATAATCACTGTGAGGCCATGGAAGACAACCCTTGGCTTTGTTTTATTGCACTTTCTCTGTTTCAGAATCACGAGGAAAACTTGTGTCCTGAATACCCGGTATTTTGTCCCAACAATTGTTCGAAGATTATTCTAAAAACTGAGGTAACTGCAAATAATCCTCCTGTAGATTTTATGGAAGATAAAGTTTTAGTAATCACTGTGGTCTGTGTTTGATAAATCCCACCGATAAGGGCCCAGGGCTTAAATTATACTCGTGATAATGATGTCTCGGTCTTTCCTCCTCTTTGCCCTGCGCACTCTTTCCAGTTTTCATCATAGCTCTTTCTTGCCAGGCATCTCTCCTTCTCCTGGTCCTTGCCTTCTTCCCAAGTCACCCTTGGTTCCCCGATTGCTGCAGTTGGAGAATCAGTGATGAATTTATGCTTGTGGCTATCCATTTCATAGGTGGATGAACACCTGGCTGTATGTCCTGAAGCTGAGCAAGACTGTCCTTTTAAGCACTATGGCTGTGCTGTAACGGTATGGAATGCCTTTTGTTTCTGCCTCTACATTCTACTGTATAATTCACTTGGCAAGTTCAGTTTACTCTCTGTTCCGTCGAGGATGGAGAAAGACATACAGTTCTGAGAAATATAAGGCTGATTATTTTAGGATTCTCCAGTGAAACAGAACCAATGGGATATATACATATAGAGAGAGATTTATTTTAAGAAGTTGGCTCTTGCTGTTGTGGGGGCTAGCAAGTCCAAAATCTACAGGGCAGCTCAGCAATCTGGAAACTCTGGCTGGAGTTTCTATGCTGCAGTCTTGAGGAGAAGCTCGTTTTCTTCAGGAAATCTTAGTGTTTGCTCTGAAGGCCTTCAAATGATTGGATGAGGCCCACCACACTATGGAGGGTAATTTGCTTACTTCAAGTCTACCAATTGTTTTCATCACATCTATAAATACCTTCACAGCAACATATAGACTTGTTTTGACCAAACAATTGGGCACCATAGCCTAGCTAGGTTGACACATAAAATTAACCATCACAATAATTATTTCTAATTCCAATTCCATTGCCTCCACCTGGTTTGGAAACCTTCTGGGGTTACTCCTCTCATGATTACAAATCCTGGTTTTATGGTGATATATCCTTGTATATCACCAAGTATACTGAAACAAAATGGACTAAAATTGTGTTTTAATATGTGTGTTATTACCTTTTAAATACTTTAATAATTCATGAATTATACAAAATTAAAATAAAATTTGATTTCTACTTCAGTCTTTTGAATAGATTCCAGATGGATCAAAGTTTTAGGCATTAAAATATATCATGTTCTGTATTATCATTCTGTGTTTTCTGTAAATCTAAAATTACGCCAAAATAAAAAGTTTACTTCAGAAATCATGAAAATGCTAGAAGGAAAAATGACTGAATTTTTTTATTCTTAAAATAAAGAGGCTGGTGCAGTGGCTCACACCTGTAATCCCAGTACTTTGGGAGGCTGAGATAGGTGGATCATTTGAGGTTAGGAGTTCGAGACCAGCCTGGCCAACATGGTGAAACCCCGCCTCTACTAAAAATACAAAAATTAACTGGACGTGGTGGCTGGCATGGGCACTTGTACTCCCAGCTACTGGGGAGGCTGAGGTATGAGAATCGCTTGAACCCGGAAGGCCGAGGTTGCAGTGAGCCAAGGTCGTGCCACTGCACTCCAGCCTGGACGACAGAGTGAGACTCTGTCTCAAAATAAAAACAAAACAAAACAAAAACCCAGAAACTAAAACAAAAAAAGCAGCCCTTTCTTAAATGATTATCACAAAACCAGAAGTCATAATTTTGATAAACTTAATAATAAATATTTAAAACTTATATATGATTTTTTTAAATACCATAAATAAAGTCAAATAGCAAACCATGAACTGGAGGGAAAAGTTTGCAACATATGATCAGACAAAAAGAAAAGGGGGCTATTTTCCTTAATATACAAAGAATTCTTCATGTTAATAACTTACTCAACTTAATGGAAAAATAGGCAAAGATATATGGCATATAGGCAGTTCCAGAAAAATTTCATTTGGCTGATAGATGTAAGAAAAGATGCTCAGTTTCATTCCTAAATAAATATAAATTACAACAAGAAATATTTTACCTAATGTCATCAAATTGATAAAGATTAAAACATTTTATGATACCTCACGTTTTTTGGGCAATTTGGTTATATCTATGAAAATAAAAAATGAATCCACACATTGACCCTGCAGTTCTACTGCTAGGATTTATGCCACAGATATCCTTTTTTAAGTATACAGTGATTACACATACACAAATATACACAAAGATGTTTATTTTATTGTTTGTATAGGAAAAAAAAAAACCCCAAACTAAAAACAACCTATAAGTCCATCATTAAAACATGAACTATATAGTTATATATTCATATTTTAGAATACCATGTAGCTGATAAAAATGAGATATATATAAAAAAATTAAATATAGTATGTTCTCATTTGTGTTAAAAATGTGTATATAGCCTTACTCTAGTAAGACTAGGAAATTGGGTGTGGAGATAGGCCTTTTATTTATCATTCTTCATCTTATGTTGTTTGACATAAGCACATATTTCTTTTATTTTAAAACCCATTAAAAATGTATATTCTGAGAAGGCTTTAAAAAAATCAGTGAAGAGTCTATAAATTTGCCACATATCAAACCAGAGGTGGTCTTGGCTGCCAAAAGGATAGGTTTTACCTTTCTTGTGAATGAAATGCAGGATTGTCCAGCCTGAGCAACATGGTGAAACCCCATCTCTACCAAAACATACAAAAGTTAGCTAGGCGGGGTAGTGTGTGCCTGTAGTCCCAGCTACTTGGGAGGCTGAGGTGGGAGAATCTCTTGAGCCAGGGAGGCAGAGATTGGAGTGAACCAAGATCACACCATTGCACTCCAGCCTGGGCAACAGAATGAGACCCTGTCTCAAAAAGAGAAAAAAAATGCAGAATTGCTTTCTAGCTCTGAAAAGGATCTTTACAGTCAGGTCCAAATCTCCAGTTGGTTTGTATTCTAGAACTTGCCTCAGTACCGGAGCTTGGGATGGCAGGGGGAGTTATTCTCTGGAACCTTATTCAGAACAGCCTGTCACCAAAGAGGCCAACCCTAACCTGAATGGAAATTGATGATAAATATTTAGTTAGGATGGATCACCTTGAACACCTAACAAACATTTAATTTTACTAGTAATATAGGCAGTCTCCAAATAAATCTTTTAATGATTAGGAAAAAAGCAACCATTTCTTCTTACAAATATATTCTTTGGTTTTTGAGAGCAACAAATTTGCATGGGCTGAAATTAAAATCAGCTGGCATTCCTTCTGCCCATGGCAGCCAGGCAGTGATTGGAGGCAGCATGGAACTGTGCTTGACAGGAGGAAGAACTGGCATTGACTTAAAACTGATTTGAAGGTAAACCACCAAGGAGATAGGTTTTATGTGGGAATAGTTGAGAGATGATAACTCCATTTAACCCACAGTCATATACTCCCCGAGCAAGGAAGAAAATCAGCACTGAGAATTTTGGTATTGGCCTGATTCTCTGTCTCATGGTTTTTGTAGAATCCTAAAGCTGGGGCGGGGCATGGTGGCTCACACCTGTAATCCCAGCACTTTGGGAGGCCAAGGCAGATGAATCACTTGAGGCCAGGAATTCGAGATTAGCCTGGCCAACATGGTGAAACCCCCTCTCTACTAAAAATATAAAAGTTAGTTGGGCATGGTGGTGGGTGCCTGTATTCCCAACTACTTGGGAGGCTGAGGCACAAGAATTGCTTGAACCCAGGAGGCAAAGGCAGGGAGCCGAAATCACACCACTGCACCCCAGCCTGGGTAACAGAGCAAGCTATCAAAAAAAATATAAATAAATAAAATCCTAAAGCTGGAAAAGGAACCCACTGGAGGGCCGGGCGCGGTGGCTCAAGCCTGTATTGGGAGGCCGAGGCGGGTGGATCACGAGGTCAAGAGATCGAGACCATCCTGGTCAACATGGTGAAACCCCATCTCTACTAAAAACTACAAAAAATTAGCTGGGCATGGTGGCACGTGCCTGTAATCCCAGCTACTCAGGAGGCTGAGGCAGGAGAATTGCCTGAACCCAGGAGGCGGAGGTTGCGGTGAGCCGAGATCACGCCATTGCACTCCAGCCTGGGTAACAAGAGCGAAACTCCGTCTCAAAAAAATAAATAAATAAATAAATAAATAAATAAACATTTTAAAAAAAAAGGAACCCACTGGAGTCATTTTTCCTGCAAACCACCTAGAGACTGCTGCATGTTTAAACTATTAAAGTAAGCAAAGTTGTTAAGATGTCCTACCACCTCTCTCATTTTTTGGAGCCTCTCATCAACTTGACTTATTTTTCTCTTCACATTGAAGGATAAACGGAGGAACCTGCAGGAACATGAGCAGTCAGCCTTACGGGAGCACATGCGTTTGGTTTTAGAAAAGAACGTCCAATTAGAAGAACAGGTAAATTTTCAAAGGTACAAATATAAAGTGAAGCAACAGAATTGCTGAGATTTGCTTCCTCTGTGCTGGAATTTTTCTATTCTCCTCTATTTCATTTTAAGTCAATTGGAGATAGATGTTTTTCTATTAAGTAGCCAAACAGGCTCATAGAATTATAGAATGTTAGAATTGGAAGGTGCCATTAAGATCCTTGGGTCCATCCCCATCATTCAACAGAGGAAATAACTGAGTTCTGAGAAATTTTTGTGTTTTAATTGGAAGTAGCAGAATTCAATCTCAAAACCCATGTCCTCCGATTCTAAATCCAGTATTCCCCATGGTACGCCATAACTGCCTCTCAATAGCCTATCTAAACACCTTTTGGTTAATACCTGGTACCTAGCAATTTGATGTTTAAGTACATTAATATTACTGTGAAACAACAGTTGACTATGTGTTCCAAGCACTATGGATTTTATAAATTTTGTGATAAGTCTAAGCTCCTGCCTTTGAGAAGCTTTGCAGCCTGACAAATGCATACATACACACTTATTTCACTGAGTTGTGATTATTAAGCGAAATGGTATGCAAATGCCTGCCATAGTTCCTGTGTCACTCATATTAACCTCAATAAATGCTGATTCTATTGATCAATTTTTAAGAAAGTTAATTATTTTGTTAGAACATCTCAAAAAATCAGACTTTTCAAGCCCAAGTAGGGAAGAAAACCATCCATTTTCAGAAAAGGAGCTGATGTTTACTAATGCACAGGATTTTTTGATGTCTGATTTTTCTTTTAAAGTAGATATGTGAGTTTCCAGGGTCAGATCCTGGAGAAAATTAGGAAGACTAATTAAATAGTAACTTTGGTAGAAGGCATGCTGCCTCGTAACCGTTCTCAAGTTCTTTCTGTATCAGTTGCCTCATTCATCCATCCTTTCATTCAAGAAACACCTACCATATGTCAGATACAGTGTTTGCTGTTAGGGACACTGAACCAAGGAAGAAATAGCCTCTACCCTTGAAGAACTAAAATAAATATAAACAGGTAAGTTGTCATGGCTTGTAGAACGTGCTATAACTCAGTCTGGGGTACAAAGACTGTAGCAGTTTATTCTGGGTGAGTTGGGGAAGACTATCCAAGGTAAGATATCCAAGCTGCCTCTTGAAGGAGGAAAGATTCAGCAATTAAAATGTGGAAAAAGGACATCCAAAAGGGAGAGCTTACACTGAAGCAGGGAGGCATAAGAAATTCTGATGGATCAAGGAAATGGGGTTTTAGGATGAATGGACTTCTGAGTATGAGACAGGGAAAGGCTGGAGACTGGTGTGTTGGATCCAGGTTGCAGTGGCCTTCCGTGTAGCCTACGAAGTTTTGAAAACTGTGCATTCAATTATTTTTTCAATTCATTCATACTCTGCCTTGTTTCAGAAATGTTTTAAGGGCCAGAAATTTGAACTAATGTTTTTTTCAGTAATAGGGAGCTAATGGAGGTTTCTTAATTGGAAAATACTTGGCCAGCTAATTGTCGAGATAGGGTCTGGCCCTGTCACCGAGGCTGGAGTACAGTGGTGCGATCTGGACTCTCTACAGTCTCTGCCTCCAAGGCTCAAGAAATCCTCCCACCTCAGCCTCTTGAGTAGCTGCGACTATAGGTGTGCACCACCA